ACTTAAATATACTTAAATATACTTAAATATACTTAAATATACTTAAATATACTTAAATATACTTAAATATACTTAAATATACTTAAATATACTTAAATATACTTAAATATACTTAAATATACTTAAATATACTTAAATATACTTAAATATACTTAAATATACTTAAATATACTTAAATATACTTAAATATACTTAAATATACTTAAATGTACTTAAATATACTTAAATATACTTAAATATACTTAAATATACTTAAATATACTTAAATATACTTAAATATACTTAAATATACTTAAATATACTTAAATATACTTAAATATACTTAAATATACTTAAATATACTTAAATATACTTAAATATACTTAAATATACTTAAATATACTTAAATATACTTAAATATACTTAAATATACTTAAATATACTTAAATATACTTAAATATACTTAAATATACTTAAATATACTTAAATATACTTAAATATACTTAAATATACTTAAATATACTTAAATATACTTAAATATACTTAAATATACTTAAATATACTTAAATATACTTAAATATACTTAAATATACTTAAATATACTTAAATATACTTAAATATACTTAAATATACTTAAATATACTTAAATATACTTAAATATACTTAAATATACTTAAATATACTTAAATATACTTAAATATACTTAAATATACTTAAATATACTTTATATACTTAAATATACTTAAATATACTTAAATATACTTAAATATACTTAAATATACTTAAATATACTTAAATATACTTAAATATACTTAAATATACTTAAATATACTTAAATATACTTAAATATACTTAAATATACCTTAAATATACTTAAATATACTTAAATATACTTAAATATACCTAAATATACTTAAATATACTTAAATATACTTAAATATACTTAAATATACCTAAATATACTTAAATATACTTAAATATACTTAAATATACTTATATATACTTTATTATACTTAAATATACTTAAATATACTTAAAAATACTTAAATATACTTAAAAATATACTTAAATGTTCTTAAATATACTTAAATGTTCTTTTTTCAAGTTTACTCAACGACACTCAGGAGAAGACTGTTGATTAGAATTCCCTGGTCGTTATATTTATTGCCCTCTGATTACATGTATTGTAATATTTAGGTACATTAAATGGCGGGAAATAGTATGTACATTGCATTGTTATGTGTTAGTGTATTATGTCTATTTTTTTTTAGCTATATTTAAGCTTAAAGCTAGATTATGTGTTAGTATATTTTGGGTTACATTTGGGATTTTAGGTTGAGGGTCACACTGTTATTTAATATAAACATTGGTGGTAATAATTTAGGCGTGCTTTCTTTTCCCGCAGTAACATTTCTCGCCATCTAATTTCTCGCCGCAGTATCCTCCCTCGCCGCAGTCACTTCCCCCGCCGCAGTCGCGTCCCACGCCGCAGTCCTTCCCACGCCGCAGTCAGGAGCCGCTTGTTTTGATTGCCGCAAACTTTCCAGTGTGTTTTGCCAGTGGCCGAGAGAAGCTTGGGTCAGGTGAGTGTGCTTTTGTTTTGTTTTGTTTCTGTGTTTTTCTCAGAAGTCAAATTCGGCCGGATCCGCAGTGCGTTTGTGTCAGGTAAGTTGAGGTAGTCGCAGCGGATGTTTGTTGACGGATGTGTTTATGTTTTTGATTTAATTATTGCGCATTTACTTATATAATTTTTATTTGCAGATTTCCATCGCGAGTCATCCTCTTGCTTGTCAGGAGCCAGGATACCGTTTGTGGCAGGTAAGTGGCTTTTAATTTAAAATTGTTTATATTTTTATTTGTGTTGTTTTTTTAGGCGCAGTGGAATTTTTCTGGTGAATGCTGGATTGCATTTTTCAATTTGTTTTTTATTTATGTTTCTTGCAGGTTTGTCTGCCGCAGTCGTCACAGCCGTATTTTCGTCTTTCTCCGCACTCGCAATCGTCAGGAATCACAGGAAATGGTCAACCCAGCCAGGTTGTGCTTAGTTGGCTTTGGATGAGGATATTGATGGATTTAGTGGCGCGCTGTCTGGAATATTAGGGACCAGTGAAGATGGACAAATCCCCCGCCGCAGTCGTCTAGGCTTGGACCAGAAGAATTCGATGGCTGTGTCAGATAAGTTTATGATTTAATTATGTTTATTGCGCATTTAGTTTTAAAGAGTTTTTAATTTTTTATTTCTCGCAGATTTGTCCATGGAAGCAGTCACGGATTTTCGGTTGCCAAAAAGCCCTTTAAAGCAGGTAAGAAGTTTTTGGTCTAATTTGTTAATTGTGTATATGTTAATTATTTTGATTTTTTATTATATTACAGGCGCAGCGGAAGAAATTTTTTGTTGTTACTGGATCGTGTTTGAGTCAGATAAGTTTATAGTTAAATTTTTTGTTAATGCGCATTTAGCGCATTTTGAAGATTTTTTGTTTTTATTTTTATTTTTTGCAGATTCATCCATTGCAGCAGTCAGAGTTTGGGGGTCAAAAATCATTTAAAGCAGGTAAGTAGCTTTTAAGATTAGATGTATTTATTGCGCTTGTGTATTTTTATTTTTTTTTGTAGACGTATCCCTCGCCGCAGTCGTGTTTACCAGGACCCTGGCAAGCCCAAGCGTGGTTCTGGCTGTGTGTTTGTGTGGAATTTACTCGTCGCAGTTGATATGTGGTTGGGGTAGGTAAGTATTTACTGTTTTGACTTTGTTTATTGTGAGTGTGTTTTTTAATTATGTTATTATTTTTAATTTTTACAGGCTTATCCCTCGCCGCAGTCGAGTGTGGAATTCCCTCGCCGCAGTCAAGGTGTGGTTAGGGTAGGAGGTGTGTTTTGTTTTGCATTTGTTTATTGTGAGTGTGTTTTTAATTATGTTGTTATTTTGTTTTTTACAGATGTATCCCTCGCCGCAGTCGTGTGCACCCGAAGCCGATCAGGAGCCCAAATGGGTTCCAATAATGTGTCCGTGTGGAATTCCCTCGCCGCAGTCAAGGTGTAGGTTGGGGTAGGAAGTGTGTTTTATTTTGGCTTTGTTTATTGTGAGTGTGTTTTTAATTATGTTGCTATTTTGCTCTTTTACAGGTGTGTCCCCCGCCGCAGTCGTGTGCACCCGGAGCCTGTGTGAGCCCGAATGGGTTCCAATAATGTGTCTGTGTGGAATTCCCTCGCCGCAGTCAAAGTGTGGTTTGGGTAGGAAGTGTGTTTTATTTTGGCTTTGTTTATTGTGAGTGTGTTTTTGATTATGTTGTTGTTTTGTTTTTTGCAGGTGTATCCCTCGCCGCAGTCGTGTGCACCCGAAGCCGGTCAGGAGTCCAAGCATGGTTTAGATGGGTGAATGTGTTGTTGGTTTTATTTATTATAAATGATGTGTTTTTAAATATGCCCTTTTTTTCCGCAGGTTCGTCCATACGAGCAGATTGAAGCCGTAGCCTCACCCCTCTCCGCAGTTTCAACCATCAGGAATCGCAAGGATGTTCCACCAATTAGGCTGACCCTAGCTGGCAGTAAGGATGGGAAGATACCCCGCTGCCATCGCCTTTCTTTGGACCGGAAAGGAGTCCATCGGCTGTATGCGCGCCTGTGTGTTCGCGCAGAGCGTGTCCCTCGCTGCAGTCGTGTCCGGAGATCCTTGTAGGGGTTCGTTGCATCAGTTTTCACCATCATGGTCAGTCAGAGGCGCGACCCAATCAGGCAGCGCGAGGCCTTCCCTATGGCCAGGAAAGCTTTCAAGGCAGGAGCTTATGCTTGTGGAGATCAGGCTTTTCATCTATATGAGGTATTACAGGTGAGTGCTTTGTCTGTCTATTATATTGGATCTGTCTTGGTCCTTAATGTCCTCTGCGTTTATTGGAGAGTCGACCCTAGCAGCAAGGACCCCAAGGGAGAGCTGTGGTTGACAATGACCCTTAACCGCATTTCGTGTGTCTTGCTTAATGTAGCCATTGCTTGCTTCATTTTGGGAGAGTCAATCGCAGTAAGGACCCCTTTTTGGGAGAGCTGCACATGGCAAGGACCTCTTATTGTGAGCAGGCACTTTGTGTTCTTTGCCTGGGCTTCGTATTTTGGAGAGTCGACCCACACAGCAAGGACCCCAAAGGAGAGCTGTGGTCGATAAGGACCCTTAATCGTTTACAGTGGCATGAATGCTATTTGTGTTTACTATAGCTAAGGTTGGGAGAGCTAGTTGTGGTAAGGACCCCTTATTGGGAGAGCCGCAGTTTGGAAGGACCCCCCATTGTGAGCGTTGAAGAATTTTTTAGTTTTAATTTTATTTGCTCCTTTGTTTTACTGTGTGAGAGAGTCAATCTCCTCAGTCACATCAGTAGAAACCTCTTTTGGCTCAGTTAGGAGAGTCAAATGCAGTAAGGACCCCTCAATTTGGGAGAGCTGTGCATGGCAAGGACCCTTTATTATGAGCATCATTTTGATTTTTGATTTAGTTCACGCATCCATGCGTCTGTGTGGAGTTCACTCGCCGCTTTCGGAATGTGGTTGGGGTAGGTAATTGTATTTTATTTTGGCTTTGTTTATTGTGGGTGTGTTTCTAATTATGTTATTGTTTTTATTTTTGCAGGTGTGTCCATCGCCGCAGTCATGTACCCGAAGCCGGGTAGGAGTCCAAGCATGGTTTAAATGGGTGAATTTGTTGTTGGTTTTAATTGTTATAAATGTGTTTATATTTATGCTCTTTTTTCCCCTCGCAGTCATGTCCAGCCGGTCGCTTTTTTGTGAGCAGGATCCCTTTGCGAATTTTACACGAGCAGTACATGGCTCGGGAAGGCAGTTCAAGACCTCCAGAAGAACGCAGGACAGTTTGGAGTCGTCCAGGACAGGAGCAGGTGTTTGTGAAGAACTGGTAATCTATTGATGGGCCCATTTTTGAATTTAATTTTGACCCCTTTCCCCTTTTTATTGTATTTTTTTAATTAGTTGGATAGTATAGGGTTTGTTGTCCAATGTGGGTTTGGAAGTCAGGTATTATTATCCTTATGATGCCGTGAGGTTGTCCTTCCATTTTGTCAAGTAGTTCTTCTCATTTTATTCTTCCCTCTCTAAAAAGTTTATTATATTTGTTGATAAGCAATTCACACCATCTCTCTGTGGGTTTAGTTTTTAATGCCTTTTTTCTCTCATTTTTCTTTTTAATTTCCTTTTCGTTTTCTTCCTGTCCTGTAATGAAGGAAGACTTTTTCTAAATTTTTCCCTTAATTTATTCAGTATTTGTTTTTCCACACTTTCCGTGTATCCGTATGTGCTTTTGTAGGTGGGCTCTATTGGTGGTTCAGGGATGTTTGCTCTAGCTGGAAGCAGGTATTTTTGGTATTGATCTAGGTATCTGGATCTGCTCGCCGCTAGCCTTTTGGGGATATACGGTTTTAGGATGAGATCTCTTATAAGTGGATTTGTGTGGGTTGTTGTTGAGATCGCAAACCTTTGGCTAGAGAGAGCAAAGACTTCTGAGAAAGATTTGATGTTATGTATTTCTCTGATAGTGGATTGTTTTATATACCTAGATGCACCAATAGATTTCCTTATTAGCTTATTCTCCACCGTTTGAATTTGTTTGGCGCTTGTTTCTGATATTAAGGATCCCCAAACAGCTATTGAGTAGTGCCAGATGGGCGATATTATTTGTTTGAAGAGGAGTGTTTTGGTCTTGTCAGGTAGTTTGCTTTTTTCAATCTGCTCGTATGGACGAACCTGCGGAAAAAAGGGCATATTTAAAAACACATCATTTATAATAAATAAAACCAACAACACATTCACCCATCTAAACCATGCTTGGACTCCTGACCGGCTTCGGGTGCACACGACTGCGGCGAGGGATACACCTGCAAAAAACAAAACAACAACATAATCAAAAACACACTCACAATAAACAAAGCCAAAACAAAACACACTTCCTACCCAAACCACACTTTGACTGCGGCGAGGGAATTCCACACGGACACATTTTTGGAACCCATTTGGGCTCCTGATCGGCTTCGGGTGCACACGACTGTGGCGAGGGATACATCTGTAAAAAACAAAATAACAACATAATTAAAAACACACTCACAATAAACAAATGCAAAACAAAACACACCTCCTACCCTAACCACACCTTGACTGCGGCGAGGGAATTCCACACTCGACTGCGGCGAGGGATAAGCCTGTAAAAATTAAAAATAATAACATAATTAAAAAACACACTCACAATAAACAAAGTCAAAACAGTAAATACTTACCTACCCCAACCACATATCAACTGCGACGAGTAAATTCCACACAAACACACAGCCAGAACCACGCTTGGGCTTGCCAGGGTCCTGGTAAACACGACTGCGGCGAGGGATACGTCTACAAAAAAAAATAAAAATACACAAGCGCAATAAATACATCTAATCTTAAAAGCTACTTACCTGCTTTAAATGATTTTTGGCCCCCAAACTCTGACTGCTGCAATGGATGAATCTGCAAAAAATAAAAATAAAAACAAAAAATCTTCAAAATGCGCTAAATGCGCATTAACAAAAAATTTAACTATAAACTTATCTGACTCAAACACGATCCAGTAACAACAAAAAATTTCTTCCGCTGCGCCTGTAATATAATAAAAAATCAAAATAATTAACATATACACAATTAACAAATTAGACCAAAAACTTCTTACCTGCTTTAAAGGGCTTTTTGGCAACCGAAAATCCGTGACTGCTTCCATGGACAAATCTGCGAGAAATAAAAAATTAAAAACTCTTTAAAACTAAATGCGCAATAAACATAATTAAATCATAAACTTATCTGACACAGCCATCGAATTCTTCTGGTCCAAGCCTAGACGACTGCGGCGGGGGATTTGTCCATCTTCACTGGTCCCTAATATTCCAGACAGCGCGCCACTAAATCCATCAATATCCTCATCCAAAGCCAACTAAGCACAACCTGGCTGGGTTGACCATTTCCTGTGATTCCTGACGATTGCGAGTGCGGAGAAAGACGAAAATACGGCTGTGACGACTGCGGCAGACAAACCTGCAAGAAACATAAATAAAAAACAAATTAAAATAAATAAAAATTTAAAACTACGTGCAATATACAAAATTAAAATATAAAAACACCTGACAAAAAAAAAAAATGCAATCCAGCATTCACCAGAAAAATTCCACTGCGCCTAAAAAAACAACACAAATAAAAATATAAACAATTTTAAATTAAAAGCCACTTACCTGCCACAAACGGTATCCTGGCTCCTGACAAGCAAGAGGATGACTCGCGATGGAAATCTGCAAATAAAAATTATATAAGTAAATGCGCAATAATTAAATCAAAAACATAAACACATCCGTCAACAAACATCCGCTGCGACTACCTCAACTTACCTGACACAAACGCACTGCGGATCCGGCCGAATTTGACTTCTGAGAAAAACACAGAAACAAAACAAAACAAAAGCACACTCACCTGACCCAAGCTTCTCTCGGCCACTGGCAAAACACACTGGAATGTTTGCGGCAATCAAAACAAGCGGCTCCTGACTGCGGCGTGGCAAGGACTGCGGCGAGGGAGGATACTGCGGCGAGAAATTAGATGGCGAGAAATGTTACTGCGGGAAAAGAAAGCACGCCTAAATTATTACCACCAATGTTTATATTAAATAACAGTGTGACCCTCAACCTAAAATCCCAAATGTAACCCAAAATATACTAACACATAATCTAGCTTTAAGCTTAAATATAGCTAAAAAAAATAGACATAATACACTAACACATAAAAATGCAATGTACATACTATTTCCCGCCATTTAATGTACCTAAATATTACAATACATGTAATCAGAGGGCAATAAATATAACGACCAGGGAATTCTGATCAACAGTCTTCTCCTGAGTGTCGTTGAGTAAACTTGAAAAAAAAAACTTAAGAGGAAAGGAAAATCCGTATACTACCCCACTTGTTGACGGACAAAGGACAATGAAACAAAACAAGCAACGCTACTTGGGGGTTACTTTGGACAAAAAACTTTCTCTTAAATCACACGTCTCACAATTAAGAGCAAAAATCTACTCAAGCTATAAAAAACTAGAATGGCTGCTAGGCAAAAAAAGCAAACTACCTGACAAGACCAAAAAACTCCTCTTCAAACAAATAATATCGCCCATCTGGCACTACTCAATAGCTGTTTGGGGATCCTTAATATCAGAAACAAGCGCCAAACAAATTCAAACGGTGGAGAATAAGCTAATAAGGAAATCTATTGGTGCATCTAGGTACACAAAACAATCCACTATCAGAGAAATACATAACATCAAATCTTTCTCAGAAGTCTTTGCTCTCTCTAGCCAAAGGTTTGCGATCTCAACAACAACCCACACAAATCCACTTATAAGAGATCTCATCCTAAAACCGTATATCCCCAAAAGGCTAGCGGCGAGCAGATCCAGATACCTAGATCAATACCAAAAATACCTGCTTCCAGCTAGAGCAAACATCCCTGAACCACCAATAGAGCCCACCTACAATAGCACATACGGATACACGGAAAGTGAGGAAAAACAAATACTGAATAAATTAAGGGAAAAATATAGAAAAAGTCTTCCTACATTACTGCGACTAACAGACGAGAGAGAGGAACAGGAAGAAAACGAAAAGGAAATTAAAAAGAAAAACGAGAGAAAAAAGGCATTAAAAACTAAACCCCCAGAGAGATGGTGCGAATTGCTTATCAACAAATATAATAAACTTTTTAGAGAGGGAAGAATTACACGAGAGGAACTACTTGACAAAATGGAAGGACAACCTCACGGCATCATAAGGATAAAAATACCTGATTTCCAAACCCACATAGGACAACAAACCCTATACTACCCAACTAATAAAAAAAAAAAAAACAAAAAAAATATACAATAAAAAGGGGAAAGGGGTCAAAATTAAAGTCAAAAATGGGCCCATCAACAAATTACCTATTCTCCATAAACATCTGATCCTGTCCTGGACGACTTCAAACTGTCCTGCGCTCTTCTTGAAGACTTGAGCTGCCTACCCGAGCCATGTAATGCTCGTTCAAAATTCATCCAAACGTGCCTGGCTGGACATGACTGCGAGGGAAAATGGGCATAAATAAAAGCACATTTATAACAAATAAATTAAACACAAATTCACCCGTCTGAACCACGCTTGGACTCATGCCTGGTCTCCAGTACACATGACTGCGGCGATGGACACACCTGCAAAAATAAAAACAATAACATAATTAGAAACATACCCGCAATAAACAAAGCCAAAATAAAATACAATTACCTACCCCAACCACATTCCGAAAGCGGCGAGTGAACCCCTCACAGACGCATGGATGCGTGAACTAAATCAAAAATCAAAATGATGCTCATAATAAAGGGTCCTTGCCATGCACAGCTCTCCCAAATTGAGGGGTCCTTACTGCATCTGACTCTCCTAACTGAGCCAAAAGAGGTTTTTACTGATGTGACTGAGGAGATTGACTCTCTCACACAGTAAAACAAAGGAGCAAATAAAATTAAAACTAAAAAATTCTTCAACGCTCACAATGGGGGGTCCTTGCAAACTGCGGCTCTCCCAATAAGGGGTCCTTACCACAATTAGCTCTCCCAACCTTAGCTATAGTAAACACAAATAGCATTCATGCCACTGTAAACGATTAAGGGTCCTTATCGACCACAGCTCTCCTTTGGGGTCCTTGCTGTGTGGGTCGACTCTCCAAAATACGAAGCCCAGGCAAAGAACACAAAGTGCCTGCTCACAATAAGGGGTCCTTGCCATGCGCAGCTCTCCCAAAAAGGGGTCCTTACTGCGATTGACTCTCCCAAAATGAAGCATGAAATGGGTACATTAAGCAAGACAGACGAAATGCGATTAAGGGACTTTGTCAACCACAGCTCTCCCTTGGGGTCCTTGCTGCAAGGGTCGACTCTCCAATAAACGCAGAGCACATTAAGGACCAAGACAGATCCAATATAATTATCAGACAAAGCACTCACCTGTAATACCTCATATAGATAAAAAGCCTGATCTCCACAAGCATAAGTTCCTGCCTTGAAAGCTTTCCTGGCCATAGGGAAGGCCTCGCGCTGCCTAATTGGGTCGCGCCTCTGATTGACCATGATGGTGAAAACTGATGCAACGAACTCCTACAAGGATCTCCGGACACGACTGCAGCGAGGGACACGCTCTGCGCGGACACACAGGCGCGCATACAGCCGATGGACTCCTTTCTGGTCCAAAGAAAGGCGACGGCAGCGGGGTATCTTCCCATCCTTACTGCCAGCTAGGGTCAGCCTAATTGGTGGAACATCCTTGCGATTCCCGATGGTTGAAACTGCGGAGAGGGGCGAGGCTACGGCTTCAATCTGCACGTATGGATGAACCTGCGAAAAAAAAGGGCATATTTAAAAACACATCACTTATAATAAATAAAAACAAAACAAATTCACTTGTCTGAACCACGCTTGGACTCCTGACCGGCTTCGGGTGCACACGACTGCGGCGAGGGATACACCTGTAAAAAACAAAACAACAACATAATCAAAACACACTCACAATAAACAAAGCCAAAATAAAACACACTTCCTACCCAAACCACACTTTGACTGCGGCGAGGGAATTCCACACAGACACATTGGAACCCATTTGGGCTCCTACAGGCTCCAGGTGCACACGACTGCGGCGGGGGACACATCTGTAAAAGAGCAAAATAGCAACATAATTAAAAACACACTCACAATAAACAAAGCCAAAATAAAACACACTTCCTACCCCAACCTACACCTTGACTGCGGCGAGGGAATTCCACACAGCCTCATTATTGGAACCCATTTGGGCTCACTGACCGGCTTCGGGTGCACACGACTGCGGCGGGGGACACACCTGTAAAAGAGCAAAATAGCAACATAATTAAAAACACACTCACAATAAACAAATGCAAAACAAAACCACACCTTGACTGCGGCGAGGGAATTCCACACTCGACTGCGGCGAGGGATAAGCCTGTACAAATTAAAAATAATAACATAATTAAAAAACACACTCACAATAAACAAAGTCAAAACAGTAAATACCTACCTACCCCAAACACATATCAACTGCGACGAGTAAATTCCACACAAACACACAGCCAGAACCACGCTTGGGCTTGCCAGGGTCCTGGTAAACACGACTGCGGCGAGGGATACGTCTACAGAAAAAAAAGAAAAAAATTAAAAAAATACACAAGCGCAATTAATAAATCTAAACTTAAAAACTACTTACCTGCTTAAAATGATTCCTGGCCTCCAAACTCCGACTGCTGCGATGGAAGAATCTGCTAAAAATAAAAATAAAAACAAAAATTTACAAAAGCTAAATGCGCATTAAATAAAAATTATTCTATAAACTTATCTGACTCAAATATGATCCAGTAACAACAAAAAATCTTCCGCTGCGCCTGCGATATAATAAAAAATTAAAATGATTAACATATACACAATTAACATATTTATACCAAAAGCTACCTACCAGCCTTAAAGTGCTTTTTGGCAACCGAAAATCCTTGACTGCTTCCATGGACAAATCTGCGAGAAATAAAAATTAAAAACTCTTTAAAACTAAATGCGCAAAAAACATAATTAAATCATAAACTTATCTGACACAGCCATCGAATTCTTCTGGTCCAAGCCTAGACGACTGCGGCGAGGGATTTGTCCATCTTCACTGGTCCATAAAATTCCAGACAGCGCGCCACTAAATCCATCAATATCCTTATCCAAAGCCAACTAAGCACAACCTGGCTGGTTGACCATTTCCTGTGATTCCTGACGATTGCGACTGCGGAGAAAGAAGAAAATACAGCTGTGACGACTGCGGCAGACAAACCTGCAAGAAACATAAATTAAAAACAAATCAAAAAAATAATAAATAAAAATTTAAAACTACGTGCAATATACAAAATTAAAATATAAAAACACCTGACAAAAAAAAAAATGCAATCCAGCATTCACCAGAAAAATTCCACTGCGCCTAAAAAAAATAATAACACAAATAAAAATATAAACAATTTTAAATTAAAAGTCACTTACCTGCCACAAACGGTATCCTGGCTCCTGACAAGCAAGAGGATGACTTGCGATGGAAATCTGCAAATAAAAATTATATAAGTAAATGCGCAACAAATTAAATCAAAAACATAAACACATCCGTCAACAAACATCCGCTGCGACTACCTCAACTTACCTGACACAAACGCACTGCGGATCCGGCCAAATTTGACTTCTGAGAAAAACACAGAAACAAAACAAAACAAAAGCACACTCACCTGACCCAAGCTTCTCTCGGCCACAGGCAAAACACACTGGAATGTTTGCGGCAATCAAAACAAGAGGCTCCTGACTGCGGCGTGGGAAGGACTGCGGCGTGGGACGCGACTGCGGCGGGGGAAGTGACTGCGGCGAGGGAGGATACTGCGGCGAGAAATTAGATGGCGAGAAATGTTACTGCGGGATAAGAAAGCACGCCTAAATTATTACCACCAATGTTTACATCAAATAACAGTGTGACCCTCAACCTAAAATCCCAAATGTAACCCAAAATATACTAACACATAATCTAGCTTTAAGCTTAAATATAGCTAAAAAAAAGTTGATTGAAATAAAGAAAAAAATACAATATTGACGAAAATAAATACAAAAAAGAAGAGTTTTTATTTATATTTACAATTAAAATGGCAAACGACTCGATCTCATCGGTTAGTCTCAGTGAGGGGGATATCGTATCACTGAGTTCTAGCCCAGAACATCCCACTACCCCATTATTCATGGATGTCTCTGAACTATCAGATGGGCCCATCAGATCTGACAATGACATCACTCTGATGGCGCTTCAAAAGATAGATGAGGATCCCCTCATAACCCAAAAAAATATCCAAATAAATAAATTTCTAAACGAAGCAGCCAGCAAAGCTGCCGAATTTGTTATTTTCTCAAACACCAAAACACAGAACACACATGACTCAGAGAGTGGCAAACTCTCACACATACACTCAAAACCCTCCCCCAAAAAATCAAACAAATCTGCTGAAAATCACCCACACACTAACAAAGATAGCAATTCTGACACACTCACTCATCTCAAGCCTCTCTCGCTGACACATACTAAACCGGCCACAAATGGCGCCAAAAATGTTGACGCCAAAACATCTCCAACAACCCCAAAAAGGGAAAATTTTGCTCACTCACACTCACACAAAATCAAACACAACCTCTCTCTCACCACACAAAACATATCTCACACAAACTCCTGTAGCAACTCAAATGGCGCCAAAATTACGCGCCTCTCAAACGGCGCCAAAAATGTTGACGCCAAAACATCTCCAACAACTCCAAAAAAGGAAAATTTTGCTCACTCACACTCACATAAAATCAAACACAACCTCTCTCTCACCACAGAAAACAATTCTCACACAATCTCTTGTAGCAACTCAAATGGCGCCAAAATTACGCGCCTCTCAAACGGCGCCAAAAATGTTGACGCCAAACATCTCCAACAACTCCAAAAAAAGGAAAATATTGCCCATCCACACTCACACAAAATCACACAACACAGGCTCTCTCTCACCACACACAACATTCCTCTCACGAACACCTGCAGCGGCGCAAGTGGCGCCAAAATTACGCGCCTCTCAAACACTCACACAGACACAAGGGAAAGAAGAAAATTCACCACTCTCTCTCTCACGAACACTAATAAATGCAGCATGGGCGCCAAAAGTAGCGTCTCATCATTTGACATCACCACCTCTCCACCCGCACACTCAAACACTAAACAGGCCTCAAGCACTCACTTGCTAACTCTCCCAACTGATACACACACAAGTCTCTCCACACAAAAAAAAAATTCTCCCGTCATGCACACCGCCAATCATAGGAAGCATATCATTGCCACTGACGCTAGCAATATGACTGTCACACTGAATACAAACCCTGATGACAAACGCTTTACCAAAAATACCACAGCTGACATGGACTTATCGAATAAAATATCGAACTACATAAAACCCATCCCTGCCCAAATGGACGTGTGGCAGCCCTGCCTCCCTTCCCTCAGGAACATGCCAGATGGCGCTTTAGTTGACCCTACAATTTTAACAAAGGCAATTCTTGAACAAATAAACGTCATGCAACCGAAGCACACAAACCCCCCTACACCAGCTGACAAAAGGAAAAGATCACCTCCCCCTGAAAATGAACCCCTGTATGCCCTCCCCTTATCCCCTCCCCCAAAAGAGCAACGAATTTGCGCCCCTAAAAATTCAAACAGCCACAGCACAGCTAGACGCAGTCTCCTCTACCCCGAAAACCCTGCACATAAATTGACCTCATACGCAGAAGCAGTTAAAAACAATAGAATAAATAAATAAATGACGAAAAGACCATAGCCACACCTGGAAAAAGATTTATGGAAAAAAATGAAAACAGCCCTGACCAAACGCCTGCAAAAAAGCATTGCAACCCGGCTGAAAATGTTTCTCCCAGCAACCTAGATATCGTGACTCCAATATTTTAAAGTCAAACAGCCAATATCATAGCAGACGAATGCAGGAAAAATAGCATCTCACTAGAGACAGCTACAATTACAATTGCGATCGGGCCACGCCTTCCTTACCTCCCCTTATAAACAACAAAATTACTTATACGTCCGTTTGTCAATTGATATTGCTTTCAGTTTTACATGGCTTAGATTTTAGTTTCTTATCAGAAAATAAATATTTTAAATGAAAAAATAACTAAAATAGAAAATGAGGAAAGTTTTCGGCTAATTTTATTTATTTTTTTTATCACATATATTTATTAAATTAATCATTTTCTTCATCTAAATCAAAAGAATAGTCATTAGTAAATTCAGTTGTGTCCAAGTCATCTCCATCATCATGTGCATCATCTGTATTAATATTATTATTTAAGAAATTGACATTTGGTTGTCTTAACAGGTGAATAACCTCTATTGGATAACTGTTATATTTTGTGTTGGCAAGTAGTCTATCGTTGATGTAAATGCTGGAAACAAATGGATCCGACGAATCGAGTGCTCTACAAAAAACATCTGTCATGGTATTCAGTCGACTATTTTGCCTTGCATGCGAACGTCGATCATTTTTATAAATCTTGTTTCGAGCCTCAGATGCGTTCTCACCTAGACAGCCAAGAGGTAGGGGGGATGCGGCTACGATCTGAGACCCATGTACTAATATTTTATGTACCGTAGCTGACATTGGGTACCAGGGATATTTTTTCATGTATAAAAAAGCAGCATTTTCATAGAAACTTTTAAATTTTAAAACATTAATTTCAAATTGGCTTGAAATAGTTATTAAAATGTAATAAAAGTTTCTCAAAACTTCCAGGTCAAAGCCAAGTATTTTCGCAAATTTATCTGTATTGCAAAACGCTCTCCTAGCGGTATTCCCGTCATTAGTACTGCCGCTTCCATTTGCCTTAGGTTTATCGACATGAAGTCCAAGTTCCTCCCATAATTTTCGTTGAATTTCGCTTTTTCGAATAGTCATTTGTTCTTTATCTTGTGGGCCGCGTACTTGCCATTTATTAAGACCAATTCTATAGGAAACTTTTAAAGCAAATTCAAAAAAACGAATCCACGCGTGTAGAGGACTTACTCCATGTTCTAGTGCTTCGGAGCTTTTCGGCATGAATTTTTCCGATTGAAGATCGGTGATTGTCAAAAATTGTGTGGGAGTCGCTCCACAAATTGGACAAGACTGCGTTGAATTTGTATTTGTTAAAATATTTAGGACTTTTCCATCAATTAATGTCATTTTTGGCTCAAAGTGTATGATATATTTTTTGTCTCTTTCATTTTCAAAAACAAATGGCAGCAAGTTTTGAATTTCCAAGTCCAAATTTGCCTTTTCTTTTTGATATGGTCCTTGGTTTCTTTAATAAATTCAATTTTGAGGGGCCTACAAAATCGAACAGACTGCGGACTTCGGTTCATCCAAATAACTTGACCTGTCGAATCAATCAATTTTAGTGGGATTATTGTTGTTACAAACAAAGACTGATCAAATGTATCTGGTATGCAATCTTCAAAATATTGTTTGTACAAACTTTGGCCAGTTGAGCCGTCAAATCCATAACTGGCAATTAATTTCATATTACAAATATTTGGATAAACGTTAAATATGTCTTTTTGTAATTGTAATATACGTTCGACAGTGTGATTAAGCATGTTTTGTAGTGAAACAGAAGCGACAGACTCCGTAATATTTATTCCTTTAGGCCTGCACTTATCTTTTGCAGCGATAATTTTTTTGTAGCTCGGATAAATGTCGCAATTCCTGCATTTACTTTGCTGCCTTATGCTCATATACTGTTTTTTTGTAAAGCCGTTTTCAATTAAAAAGTCTAAGGCTTCTTCTGGAGTGAAAGGTACAGGCTCTGCTTTGGAAGATACTTCCTCAACGGTCAATCGCGCCTTTTTTGCAGCCAAGTTTGCTGCATGAGCAAGAAGATTAACGTCGTTATTATTTTTAGATGAAAGATCGGCAGCTAATCTTTGCTTTAATCGGCAACTTCCTGCATCATAGTTTAGTCGTGGGCGTCCTGCATTTTTGGGGGCCTCTTCCATAAAATCAGATGGTAATAATTTTGAAACGTAATGCGAGCCAATTTTCATGCTTCTTCTTAAGTCTTGAAACATCCCGGTTACAATTGTTTAACCGTGTTTTTAATGCAGCAACAAAGTTTGCTATTTTCTTGTCTATTGAGTTCTTTATATGTTCCTTTAATGTTTTAATAATATGCTGCAGCACAAAATCATAAATACTTTTATTTTCACGACCACTTGCCAGCCAAACCTCTACCATTTCAGCATAGCTCAAATCGATGTTGTCTGTCAAAAAACAATATTTCATGGAATCGGGCAAAAACGGGCAAAAAAAATTAGTGTAATCAAAAAATATATATGTTAAAGATAACATCTGTATCAATAGTTTATTAAATACGATTAAATACTATATACCTTTATTCCACGGAACACGACAAAAGTTAGGTTAGAATTGCTAAAACACATAACATCACAAAAACACATATTAATAAAGAAATTACACATATAACAAATATTGCAAAATTACATAATATTTCACATACCTGCACAATTATCATCCATTTTGAATTATTGCAATCGAGATATTAGATTTTACACAATTTGTTTTCAAACTTTGCATTAATTTCACGAGAAAGCAATGCCAAAGTTTGCGCTAAACGATCAGCTGATTTCCAGGGCTGCCAGCGATCGCAGGGATACAATTTCAATTGAAAATCTATTATTTTCAATTGCCCTGAATATTACTCTATCGCAATAAAATATTGTTTTTGCCCAACTCTTAAAAAAAAAAATTGGATTCTTGCACAAATTTTGGACTTTGGGACCAGTGTGCAATGTATGAAAAATAGGACAACTGGGGCACCCATGAAATTACATAAAATAGAATTAGAACCACAGCCTGACGGATACCACAAAAGTATACTCACTTTGAAGGTCCTGGGCAACCAAACCATCAAAGTTGAAATGATGCACAGAACTCGAGAGCCGGTCCAGTGCTACAATTGTCAAGGTTTCCGCCACTCCAGAAACCACTGCCTAAAAGGCCCAAGGTGTCTGAAGTGTGCTGGAAACCATGAAACAAGAGTTTGGCTAAAACCAAGATCAACTCCGGCTAAATGCCCAAACTGCTCGGGGGCGCATGTCAGCTCGTACAGGGGCTGCCCAGCCTATAAAAAGGAAAAAAGCTCATTATTTATTAACCAAATAAATCTGGGAGAATACAGGGAAACCAGAAGGGAAATCAGGCCCCAACCCCTCTCACATGTTTACCCTAAACCGCCAGCTGCAAACTCAAGGCAAAACCCATTCCGGGATACCAAAGAAAGGAGAAAACCCTCTACCCACCGCCCCTCACACCACGACACTGCCATCCAAAAAAGGCTTAACCGCTTACGGAGAGAAAAGGAACCCAAAATGACAAAAAAAAACCCAGCCGAGCAACACCTAAAAAAATTTCAACAAGGACTACGAGAGATGAATAAAAAAACAGACTCCCAAGGAAAAAATTCCCCCCCAGGATTCCCCCAAACAAACCAGAAAGCTGGGGAAAGCCCCCCGACAACTAGCCGAGCTGCTAGAGCTTTCTTCAAACCTAGAATAATTGAAAATAAAAATTCCCCTGAAGAATCAAAACCCAATAATAAACCAATTCCGATGGAAAATAATATCCTCAGCCACGCCCTAGAGTTAAGGATTGAAAGCCTAGAAATTAAACTGGACAACTTCATTAATAAAATAATGACACTAATAGGAAGCTCAAACTAGGAAATAAAACACATTAATCAGCCGTAAAAAACCCTACCGTATGACACACACTACAAACAACAATAACAATAACACAAACTCACTAAAACTATGTTTCTGGAATGCCTGTGGAGCAGGAAATAAAAAAAATGAAATAGAGGCCTTTTATAGTCAAAGAAAAAATTCAAATAATGATGGTCACCGAAACCAGGCTACACCCTAATTCAACATCCCTTAACTTCCCAGGTTTTCATACTTATTACTCTCGCAATCCAAGCTCAAATAGAAAGGGCGGCACTGCCATAATAGTCAACCAAAATATAAGACACTTAGCCTTAAACCCCATTGAAACAGAATCCTTCCAAAGCTCACCAATAGTCCTCATCCCGTCAAGCGGCATTCGAGCCGACATGATTATCATTGCCCCGATATACTGCCCACCTACCTACAAATGGAGTCCAAATCATTTCACCAAAATGTTCAACTACTTCAAGGAAGTACTGGGTGGTAATTCAAAATTTATCCTGGGCGGGGACTGGAATGCCAAACACCCGAATTGGGGTAACTACCGCTCTTGTGAAAGGGGCAGACACCTACACGACTGTCTACAAGCCACAAGAAACCTTCAGACTCTAGCCACTGGCGAAGCAACACACTACCCATTTGACAGCAGGAAACAGCCTTCAGCAATTGACTTCGCCATCTATAATGGATTCAAAAGGCAATATCTCAGGATTACTGCTTCTCAAGACCTCAGTTCTGACCATGTTCCCCTACTACTGACTATAAACTTCAATAAAACCAACATCATGCAGGAAAAGACAAAGACTACAATAATTACAAAAAATACAAACATCCCTAAATTTAAAAAACTACTGGAGGACAAAATTCTACTAAACACAGACATTAAATCAGGGCAGGACATAGAAGACTGCATTGACATACTCATGAGAAACATCAACACTTCAGCCAAAGAAGCAACCCCACAAACCCACACGCAGAACAGAAACAACAATAGACATAAGGAAAACCCTAATCTAATAAAGCTTGACGAAAGAACCATCAACCTACTCAACCAAAAACGAGAACTCAATAAAATATACAGAGCTACAGGGACGAAAGAAGCAAAAACATGGTTCAAAGCAGCGCAAAATAAACTGGCTAAGGAAATTAAAAAACTAAGGGAAAAAAATATAAATGACAAAATAAAAGATATTGACCCTACAGACAGATACAAAATGGACAAACTATGGAAAATGACAAATACAATTAAGAGACAAGAGCAACCCTGCTGGCCACTTAAAAAGGAAGTTGACCCTAATAAACCCACACCAGCCAGCCTCTGGACCAAGACTGCGGATGAAAAAGCCGAAGTCCTTGCACTTCACCTAGAGTCCCGATTCACCCCAAACCTAAGGAACGAAACTACAGACAGAGAACAAATTAAAAAGGAACTAACGAACTACAAAACGATTAACGCAGCAATGACAAGAGCGCAGAATCACAAAAAACTTAGGCCAGTCACATTAGCAGAACTTAATACGCTAATTGATGTCCTAGAAAATAAAAAAGCCCCTGGACATGACAAAGTTGACAACAAACTGATTAAAACTCTACCAATAAAAGCCAGACTGTACCTCGTTCTTATATATAACAGGATTCTACAAACAGGTCACTTTCCAAGCCAGTGGAAACACGCAACAATCACTATGATCCTTAAGCCAAGAAAATCCCCTTCCTGTGCAAGCTCCTACAGGCCCATTAGCCTCTTACCCAGCTTCTCCAAAATACTCGAAAAGATCCTAATGGTCAGGCTTTTTGAGACTGAATCCTTTGCTAAAGCTATTCCTCACCACCAGTTTGGCTTTAGAAAAGAACACAGTGCTGAACATCAACTAAGCAGAGTAACACAATTTATTTTAAAGGCCTTCGAAGAGAAAGAGGTGTGCTCTGCAACCTTTGTCGATGTTTCAGAGGCATTTGAGCTTCTCCCTATCTGCATTTTCAACGTCCTAGAAAACTACCTACAGAACAGAACATTCTCTGTAAAGCTAGGCAACGGCACTACATCAAAAACATGCAAAATAACAGCTGGAGTGCCACAAGGAGGAAACCTAGCGCCCATATTATTCTCAGTCTTCACATCTGATATGCCGCTTCCAATCCAAACTAACCCCAGCTACGAAAGGTCCTTCCCTAACTACTTCCCTAAGGATATGCTACTTGCCACATACGCAGACGACACCGTCATCCTTAGCAGTGCTGCAACAGCAAGAACAGCCACTGAGTTGAGCAACAAATACCTAAGCAAATACTGTAGTTGGGCTAAACATTGGGATATCTCGATAAATGCAAAAAAAACGGGACACATATTATTTTCCTTAAGAGGAAAGGAAAACCCGTATACTACCCCACTTGTTGACGGACAAAGGACAATGAAACAAAACAAGCAACGCTACTTGGGGGTTACTTTGGACAAAAAACTTTCTCTTAAATCACACGTTTTACAATTAAGAGCAAAAATCTTTTCAAGCTATAAAAAACTAGAATGGCTACTAGGCAAAAAAAGCAAACTACCTGACAACACCAAAACACTTCTCTTCAAACAAATAATATCGCCCATCTTGCACTACTCAATAGCTGTTTGGGGATCCTTAATATTAGAAACAAGCGCCAAACAAATTCAAACGGTGGAGAATAAGCTAATAAGGAAATCTATCTAGGTACACAAAACAATCCACTATCAGAGAAATACATAACATCAAATCTTTCTCAGAAGTCTTTGCTCTCTCTAGCCAAAGGTTTGCGATCTCAACAACAACCCACACAAATCCACTTATAAGAGATCTCATTCTAAAACCGTATATCCCCAAAAGGCTAGCGGCGAGCAGATCCAGATACCTAGATCAATACCAAAAATACCTGCTGCCAGCTAGAGCAAATATCCCTGAACCACCAATAGAGCCCACCTACAATAGCACATACGGATACACGGAAAGTGAGGAAAAACAAATACTGAATAAATTAAGGGAAAAATATAGAAAAAGTCTTCCTACATTACTGCGACTAACAGACGAGAGAGAGGAACAGGAAGAAAACGAAAAGGAAATTAAAAAGAAAAATGAGAGAAAAAAGGCATTAAAAACTAAACCCCCAGAGAGATGGTGTGAATTGCTTATCAACAAATATAATAAACTTTTTAGAGAGGGAAGAATAACACGAGAAGAACTACTTGACAAAATGGAAGGACAACCTCACGGCATCATAAGGATAATAATCCTTACTTCCAAACCCACATAGAACAACAAACCCTATACTATCCAACTAATTAAAAAAATATAATAAAAAGGGGAAAGGGGTCAAAAGTAAATTCAAAAATGGGCCCATCAATAGATTACCAGTTATCCACAAACACCTGCTCCTGTCCTGGACGACTCCATACTGTCCTGCGTTCTTCTGGAGGACTTGAACTGCCTTCCCGAGCCATGTACTGCTCGTGTAAAATTCACAAAGTCCTTCTCGCACAAACGCGCCCGGCTGGACAGGACTGCGAGGGGAAAAAAGAGCATAAATATAAACACATTTATAACAATTAAAACCAACAACAAATTCACCCATCTAAACCATGCTTGGACTCCTACCCGGCTTCGGGTACATGACTGCGGCGAGGGATACACCTGCAAAAATAAAAACAATAACATAATTAGAAACACACCCACAATAAACAAAGCCAAAATAAAATACAATTACCTACCCCAATTACATTCCGAGTGCGGCGAGTGAACTCCACACAGACGCATGGACGCGTGAACTAAATTAAAAATCAAAATGATGCTCATAATAAAGGGTCCTTGCCATGCACAGCTCTCCCAAATTAAGGGGTCCTTACTGCATTTGACTCTCCTAACTGAGCCAAAAGAGGTTTCTACTGATGTGACTGAGGAGATTGACTCTTTCACACAGTAAAACAAAGGAGCAAATAAAACTAAAATTAAATAATTCTTCAACGCTCACAATGGGGGGTCCTTGCTAACTGCGGCTCTCCCAGTAAGGGGTCCTTACCACAACTAGCTCTCCCAACCTTAGCTATAGTAAACACAAATAGCATTCATGCCACTGTAAACGATTAAGGGTCCTTATCGACCACAGCTCTCCTTTGGGGTCCTTGCTGTGTGGGTCGACTCTCCAAAATGCGAAGCCCAGGCAAAGAACGCAAAGTGACCGCTCACAGTAAGGGGTCCTTGCCATGTGCAGCTCTCCCAAAAAGGGGTCCTTACAGCGATTGACTCTCCCAAAATGAAGCATGCAATGGGTACATTAAGCAAGACACACGAAATGCGATTAAGGGTCTTTGTCAACCACAGCTCTCCCTTGGGGTCCTTGCTGCAAGGGTCGACTCTCCAATAAACGCAGAGGACATTAAGGACCAAGACAGATCCAATATAATTGTCAGACAAAGCACTCACCTGTAATACATCATATAGATAAAAAGTCTGTTCTCCACAAACATAAGTTCCTGCCTTGAAAGCTTTCCTGGTCATAGGGAAGGCCTCGCGCTGCCTGATTGGGTCGCGCCTCTGACTGACCATGAAGGTGAAAACTGATGCAACGAACCCCTACAAGGATCTCCGGACACGACTGCAGCGAGGGACATGCTCTGCGCGGTAACACAGGCGCGCATACATCCGATGAACCCCTTTCTGGTCCAAAGAAAGGCGACGGCAGCGGGGTATCTTCCCATCCTTACTGCCAGCTAGGGTCAGCATAATTGGTGGAACATCCTTGCGATTCCTGATGGTTGAAACTGCGGAGAGGCGTGAGGCTACGGCTTCAATCTGCTCGTATGGACGAACCTGCGGAAAAAAGGGCATATTTAAAAACACATCATTTATAATAAATAAAAACAAAAACAAATTCACTTGTCTGAACCACGCTTGGACTCCTGACCGACTTCGGGTGCACACGACTGCGGCGAGGGATACATCTGCAAAAAACAAAACAACAACATAATCAAAAACACACTCACAATAAACAAAGCCAAAACAAAACACACTTCCTACCCAAACCACACTTTGACTGCGGCGAGGGAATTCCACACAGACATATTATTGGAACCCATTTGGGCTCCTACCAGGCTTCGGGTGCACATGACTGCGGCGAGGGATTCACCTGAAAAAAACAAAATAACAACATAATTAAAAACACACTCGCAATAAACAAAACCAAAACAAAACACACTTCCTACCCCAACCTACATCTTGACTGCGACGAGGGAATCCCAAACTGACACATTATTGGAACCCATTTGGGCTCCTGACCGGCTTCGGGTTCACATGACTGCGGCGAGGGATTCACCTGAAAAAAACAAAATAACAACATAATTAAAAACACACTCGCAATAAACAAAACCAAAACAAAACACACTTCCTACCCCAACCCACACCTTGACTGCGGCGAGGGAATCCCAAACTGACACATTATTGGAACCCATTTGGGCTCCTGACCGGCTTCGGGTTCACATGACTGCGGCGAGGGATACGCCTACAAAAAATAAAAATACACAAGCGCAATTAATAAATCCAAACTTAAAACTACTTACCTGCTTGAAATGATTCTTGGCCTCCAAACTCTGACTGCTGCGATGGATGAAACTGCAAAAAATAAAAAACAAAAAAATTTTCAAAAGCTAAATGCGCATTAAAAAAATAAAAACATAAACTTATCTGACTCAAGTATGATCCAGCAACAACAAGAAAATCTTCCGCTGCGCCTACAAAATAATAAAAATAAAAATGTTAACAATACTCAATTAACAATCTTAAATTAAAAGCCACTTACCTTTTTTAAAGGGCTTCTTAGGCAACCGTAAGCCCGTGATTGCTACCACGACCGAACCTGCGGGAAATAAAAAACAAAAAGTCTTAAAACCAAACGCACAATAAACAAATTTAAAACATAAACTTAACTAACATAAATACGATCCAGTACCAGCAATAAAAATTCTACAACGCCTGAAAATAAAAAAAAAAAATAATAAATATTAACACATACATAAATCTAAATTAAAAGCTACTCACCTGGTTAAAATGATTTCCTGGCCACGGAAAAAAAAGGGAAAATCCTTTCTGACTGCTGCGATGGAAGAACCTGGAAAAAAAAGGGGAAAAAAACAAATATAAAATGTCCTCTAAATTAAATTAATTGAGTAACAAATAAAATTAAATTACAAACGTAACTGCCACATAAGCGATCCAGCCCAACCAAGCTCCGGCAGCGCCTGCGGAAAAAATAAATAAAAATTATAACACACATGCGCAACAAATCAATCTAAATTAAAAACTACTTTCCTGCTCTAAACGGTTCCTCTTGGCCTCCGAAGGGCTATGACTGCTGCGGTGGACGACTCTGCGAAAAATGCAAAAAGGAAAAATTAAAATTAAACGCGCTATAAACAAAACCAAAACCTTAATACATGCCAATAGTGCGAGTCAGTCCCAGTTAAAACTTCAGCTGCGCCTGTACAATAACAAATTAAAAATTATAACACTTGTGCAATAAACCAATTTTCATTAAAAGCCACTTACCTGCCACAAATGGTATCTTGGCTTCTGACAAGCAAGAAGATGACTCACGATGAAAATCTGCAAGAAATAAAATAAATTATAATTAAATGCGCTATAACTAAAATCAAAAACATAAACACATCCGTCAACAAACATCCGCTGCGACTACCTCAACTTACCTGACTCAAACGCATTGCGGATCTGGCCAAATCTGACTTCTGAGAAAAACACAGAAACAAAACAAAACAAAAGCACACTCAGCTTCTCTCGGCCACTGGCAAAACACACTGGAATGTTTGCGGCAATCAAAACAAGAGGCTCCTGACTGCGGCGTGGGAAGGACTGCGGCGTGGGACGCGACTGCGGCGGGGGAAGTGACTGCGGCGAGGGAGGATACTGCGGCGAGAAATTAGATGGCGAGAAATGTTACTGCGGGATAAGAAAGCACGCCTAAATTATTACCACCAATGTTTACATCAAATAACAGTGTGACCCTCAACCTAAAATCCCAAATGTAACCCAAAATATACTAACACATAATCTAGCTTTAAGCTTAAGTATAGCTAAAAAAAAATAGACATAATACACTAAAACATAAAAATGCAATGTACATACTATTTCCCACCATTTAATGTACCTAAATATTACAATACATGTAATCAGAGGGCAATAAATATAACGACCAGGGAATTCTGATCAACAGTCTTCTCCTGAGTGTCGTTGAGTAAAAAAAAAAAAAAAAAACTGCGGCGGGGAAAGTGACTGCGGCGAGGGAGGATTCTGCGGCGATAAATTAGATGGCGAGAAATGTTACTGCGGGAAAAGAAAGCACGCCTAAATTATTACCACCAATGTTTACATTAAATAACAGTGTGACCCTCAACCTAAAATCCCAAATGTAACCCAAAATATACTAATCTAGCTTTAAGCTTAAATATAGCTAAAAAAAAATAGACATAATACACTAACACATAAAAATGCAATGTACATACTATTTCCCGCCATTTAATGTACCTAAATATTACAATACATGTAATCAAAGGGCAATAAATATAACAACCAAAAAAAAAAAAAGCCTGCTCCTGCTCCACGTCTCCTATATGGATGTGGTGGCTGCCAAGTGCTGGTTCTCACCATGCTCGGAAAGAAGGAGGAAAACCAGTAAAAACAATTTTGCACTCAGGCCGCAAAATAAACAACAAAGTCAACGTTGGACTCACCTGCTCAACTCGTCGGCACAGCAAATCCTGCAAATCCTGATGTGGCCCAGTATCCGTCTGCTCCTGCTCCACGTCTCCAACATGGACATGGTGGCTGCCAAATGCTGGAACTCACCAAGCTGGAAAGAAGGAAGAAAACCAGTTAAAACAATCTTGCACATAGACCGCAAAATATACAGCAAAGTCAACGTTGGACTCACCTGCTCAACTCATCGGCACAACAAATCCTGTAAATCCTGATATGGTCCAGAATCCGCCTGCTCCTGCTCCACGTCTCCTATATGGATGTGGTGGCTGCCAAGTGCTGGTTCTCACCATGCTCGGAAAGAAGGAGGAAAACCAGTTAAAACAATTTTGCACACAGGCCGCAAAATAAACAACAAAGTCAACGTTGGACTCACCTGCTCAACTCGTCGGCACAGCAAATCCTGCAAATCCTGATGTGGCCCAGTATCCGTCTGCTCCTGCTCCACGTCTCCAACATGGACATGGTGGCTGCCAAATACTGGAACTCACCATGCTGGAAAGAAGGAAGAAAACCAGTTAAAACAATTTTCAACATAGGCCGCAAAATATACAACAAAGTCAACGTTGGACTCACCTGCTCAACTCGTCGGCACAACAAATCCTGTAAATCCTGATGTGGTCCAGAATCCGCCTGCTCCTGCTCCACGTCTCCTATATGGATGTGGTGGCTGCCAAGTGCTGGTACTCACCATGCTGGAAAGAAGGAGGAAAACCAGTTAAAACAATTTTGCACACAGGCTGCAAAATAAACAACAAAGTCAACATTGGACCCACCTGCTCAACTCGTCGGCACAACAAATCCTACAAATCCTGATGTGGCCCAGTATCCGCCTGCTCCTGCTCCTGCTCCACGTCTCCTATATGGATGTGGTGGCTGCCAAGTGCTGGTTCTCACCATGCTGGAAAGAAGGAGGAAAACCAATTAAAACAATTTTGCACACAGGCCGCAAAATAAACAACAAAGTCAACGTTGGACTCACCTGCTCAACTCGTCGGCACAGCAAATCCTGCAAATCCTGATGTAGCCCAGTATCCGTCTGCTCCTGCTCCACGTCTCCTACATGGACATGGTGGCTGCCAAATGCTGGAACTCACCAAGCTGGAAAGAAGGAAGAAAACCAGTTAAAACAATTTTGCACATAGACCGCAAAATAAACAACAAAGTCAACGTTGGACTCACCTGCTCAACTCAACTTCCCCATGCTGGAAAGAAGGAAGAAAACCAGTTAAAAAAATTTTGCACATAGGCCGCAAAATATACAACAAAGTCAACGTTGGACTCACCTGCTCAACTCGTCGGCACAACAAACCCTGTAAATCCTGATGTGGTCCAGAATCCGCCTGCTCCTGCTCCACGTCTCCTATATGGATGTGGTGGCTGCCAAGTGCTGGTTCTCACCATGCTGGAAAGAAGGAGGAAAACCAATTAAAACAATTTTGCACACAGGCTGCAAAATAAACAACAAAGTCAACGTTGGACTCACCTGCTCAACTCGTCGGCACAACAAATCCTACAAATCCTGATGTGGCACAGTATCCGCCTGCTCCTGCTCCACGTCTCCTATATGGATGTGGTGGCTGCCAAGTGCTGGATCTCACCATGCTGGAAAGAAGGAGGAAAACCAGTTAAAACAATTTTGCACACAGGCTGCAAAATAAACAACAAAGTCAACGTTGGACTCACCTGCTCAACTCGTCGGCACAACAAATCCTACAAATCCTGATGTGGCCCAGTATCCGGCTGCTCCTGCTCCACGTCTCCTATATGGATGTGGTGGCTGCCAAGTGCTGGTTCTCACCATGCTAGAAAGAAGGAAGAAAACCAGTTAAAACAATTTTGCACATAGGCCGCAAAATATACAACAAAGTCAACGTTGGACTCACCTGCTCAACTCTTCAGCACAACAAATCCTGTTAATCCTGATGTGGTCCAGAATCCGCCTGCTCCTGCTCCACGTCTCCTACATGGATGTGGTGGCTGCCAAGTGCTGGATCTCACCACGCTCGGAAAGAAGGAGGAAAACCAGTTAAAACAATTTTACACACAGGCCGCAAAATAAACAACAAAGTCAACATTGGACTCACCTGCTCAACTCGTCGGCACAACAAATCCTGCAAATCCTGATGTGGTCCAGAATCCGCCTGCTCCTGCTCCACGTCTCCTATATGGATGTGGTGGCTGCCAAGTGCTGGTTCTCACCATGCTCGGAAAGAAGGAGGAAAACCAGTTAAAACAATTTTGCACACAGGCCGCAAAATAAACAACAAAGTCAACGTTGGACTCACCTGCTCAACTCGTCGGCACAGCAAATTCTGCAAATCCTGATGTGGCCCAGTATCCGCCTGCTCCTGCTCCACGTCTCCCACATAGACATGGTGGCTGCCAAGTGCTGGTTCTCACCATGCTCGGAAAGAAGGAGGAAAACCAGTTAAAACAATTTTGCACACAGGCCGCAAAATAAACAACAAAGTCAACGTTGGACTCACCTGCTCAACTCGTCGGCACAGCAAATCCTGCAAATCCTGATGTGGCCCAGTATCCGCCTGCTCCTGCTCCAAGTCTCCTACATGGACATGGTGGCTGCCAAATACTGGAACTCACCATGCTGGAAAGAAGGAAGAAAACCAGTTAAAACAATTTTCAACATAGGCCGCAAAATATACAACAAAGTCAACGTTGGACTCACCTGCTCAACTCGTCGGCACAACAAATCCTGTAAATCCTGATGTGGTCCAGAATCCGCCTGCTCCTGCTCCACGTCTCCTATATGGATGTGGTGGCTGCCAAGTGCTGGTACTCACCATGCTGGAAAGAAGGAGGAAAACCAGTTAAAACAATTTTGCACACAGGCTGCAAAATAAACAACAAAGTCAACGTTGGACCCACCTGCTCAACTCGTCGGCACAACAAATCCTACAAATCCTGATGTGGCCCAGTATCCGCCTACTCCTGCTCCACGTCTCCTATATGGATGTGGTGGCTGCCAAGTGCTGGTTCTCACCATGCTCGGAAAGAAGGAGGAAAACCAGTTAAAACAATTTTGCACACAGGCCGCAAAATAAACAACAAAGTCAACGTTGGACTCACCTGCTCAACTCGTCGGCACAGCAAATCCTGCAAATCCTGATGTGGCCCAGTATCCGTCTGCTCCTGCTCCACGTCTCCTACATGGACATGGTGGCTGCCAAATGCTGGAACTCACCAAGCTGGAAAGAAGGAAGAAAACCAGTTAAAACAATCTTGCACATAGACCGCAAAATAAACAACAAAGTCAACGTTGGACTCACCTGCTCAACTCGTCGGCACAACAAATCCTACAAATCCTGATGTGGCCCAGTATCTGCCTGCTCCTGCTCCACGTCTCCTACATGGATATGGTGGCTGCCAAATGCTGGATCTTACCATGCTGGAAAGAAGTAAGAAAACCAGTTAAAAAAATTTTGCACATAGGCCGCAAAATATACAACAAA